TCTGTCCAGGCACTCATCGACGTCGACTTCGTCAAGATTCAGGGGGCCTCGCCGGACGGCTAGGGGTCGAACAAGGGAGCAGAACGTAGCAGGGTGAAAGCAGTGTTTACGAAGCTAAGTTTTGGGTACAACATGCCCGAAGTTGACATCAGCTCGGTTGCCAAATTTCCGGAAGTTTGGTGCATCTGGCTCTCCAAGCAATAGGTTGGGGCTAGCGGTTCCAAAACACTAAGGTCATTAGGGGAACCCTGAAAGAAAGCCCGTCCGCCTGGCAGAATTAAACCCTGTTGAACTTTATATACCCAGAAGGTCCTAAGTGCCTAAATGGTAGAAAGTACGTTGTCCAAAATAGGGACTACCATTCTGGTGTGGGTCGATACCCAGGTACGTAGGACCCTTTGGTAAAGCCGGCGGAAAGGAAGAATCTCTTATGGCTCAGACCATGTCACGAGAGGCCTGGGGAGTCTTGACTCGGCTGAGTGGACTCGGAATTTTGGGGGGTTCAGGGTTTGTGGTGTGGGATTGATGATTTAGGGTTTAGGATTTATGGCGACGGGTCTGGGCTTTAAGGATCTGGTTTCATCATACTCTAGGGCCTAGGGTCCTCAACAACTAGAAGCGGAGTCTGGGTATGTTATAGTACATTTCTCCTTCGTGAGCCCTAAGAAATAATGGTGTTAATCATTCAGGCCCCTTTGTCAGAGCTTTCTTCTAAGCAACGACAGATTGAAACTTTGTGGGGCGACCCGTCTCTGAGACGGCCTGGCATTAGAGCATATATGAGCCGGTGACTTCCTGTAATGTAGGGGCCGCAACAATTACGTAGACTAGGGCTCCTCGTTAAAGGCTTCTACAGTTGTTCTGCAAGAGGTTTAAAGATTCAGGGGCTGCAATAATTAGACTAGAGAATAATTAGACTAGAGTTTTGAGGGTATAGGGTTTAGGGTTTAGGGTTTAGGGTTTAGGGTATTTTGTTGTCGGACATAGAGATTCCTATAACAAGGGTCAAGGGTTCTGTACGGGCATACACGGGTTTGAGGGTTTAGGGTTCCGGGGAATTTGATAGTCGGTCTCAGTCACCATATCAGTATGATCTAATGATATGTGGATGAATGTAGCCATGAGTCTATTTAGGGTTTAGGGTATTTAATCATAGTTGTCAGTGACTGTCCCTTTGGCACGATTGCAAAATGGGTCTTACCATGTTATGTACAGATAGCAACCTACTCGATCAGAGACGGGCTTGTGCTGCCGGGGTCACATGGCATTGCCGCTGCCCGGTGCACCTCAGACCCACAGCTTGCATTCTGCCCAGCTACACAACTGTAAAGTCTGCTGATCGCCTCCTGTTCTGAGGGGCATACCTTGTAATTAAGCGGTCATCGCTTAATATGTTGTAGGGTTTGGGGCTACAGGTTTTGGGGTTGGCATATTAATCTTCAGCTCTGGAAAAACCCTGAACCCCAAACCCCAAACCCACTTGTCCGAATCGCTCCTCCATGACAGGTGAAGATCGCCCTTCTGCGTAACACGGCCGTCGGGAGCTTGGGAAGCAGCCTACGGTTTAGGGTTTAGGTATTAGGGTTTAGGGTATAGGATCTATCGTTTGATCATGAGTTCCATGGTGGTGCGATGGTGATCATCATGCTGGCGATTGTTGTATCTGCCTTCGGGTCTCTAGTTTGCTTCTGCTGTACCTTCGGGCCACTATTCTTTTCCTGGCAGCACTTCTGCTTTCAACACCGATAAATGCCCATAACTCCTTGCCACAAAGCTACCCGGGCCTAGCCCTAAACCCTAAACCCTGCTGCTTGTTTGGTCGGCTGTCGGCAAGGCGCTTGCAGATGCTTTCGGCGGGCGCCCCATGAAGCTTCAGTCTGGAGTTGTGCCGTGAGTTTCGGAGACCCAAAAAAGCCCAAAACAGACTCAACACAGTAGGCCTCAGGTCACGGGACCCATTTTTACGAGCCCCTTCCGATTTCTTGTTGAGTTCGTAGAGCCGCAAAGGTGCTGTTTTGGTCGGTCGGGTGATGTTGAAGAAGGTCTGAGTGCATCCTTATACAGGTCCAGCATTTTGGTACTTGCGCCTGACAGACCTTACTGTAAATGTATATACAGCATGGGTACATGGGCTTGGCGACCTCGAACCGATGCATCTCGAGGGTTGTCCTGGTTTAGGCGTTATGAGTTTGGCGTTAAAGAGTTCAAGGCGTCAGGGCATCCTCTCAAAACTGATTAGCGCAACCCCGACGCACTTGCTGGGAAAGGGGTGGGCGGCGAATATGGTATTGAGATACCGGGTCCCCGGCTTTGCTGGAAGCGCTACTGCTCATGCATGGCTTCCTCTTAGCATCAAAATGGTGAGGCCACGGCCAAGCGTGACAAAGCCAAAATCTTGCAACGATGTTCAGCATTGCAGCTGAGGCTTTTAACAGGTACAGTGCTAGTGCACTGAGGCAACGGTTCCGTTTCGGAATGTCGACGTCCAAGGCTGAAAGGTGCCCCCCAAACCTTAAACCGAGATCTTGTATATCCCTGCTGCATCCTGGCACTTTGAAGATAGTGCGAGTCAGACTCCTCGTCGTTTCTTTTGTTTTTCCGACAGTCGCCCATGTGGGCTTGGCCTGACAGTTTCTTGGCCTCTTCCCTACAAAGCTGGCTTCGGTAGCATGCGCGACAGCTGTCAGTAGACTTGAATGTCTATCAGTGCAAACCCCCAAACCCCAAACCCAAGCCAGTTCCGACGTTTACGGGGTTCTGCCTCAGATCTCCGTGTACACAGATTAAAGACTGAAGTAGACTATAGCTTATACAGCTCGAACCATGAAGCCGGACAGATCGTGGAATGACATGGAGAGGACCCTGACCCCCTAAAACTCTCTATCCCTGCACTTGACTTTGGCCATGGACGTTCGAGGGAGGGGATGTTGTCAGGACTTTTGGCATCTTCCGTGCTTAAGCCAAAATGCACAGTTGGATGTTTTCAGGTCTCTTGGCATCTTCCGTGCGTCAGCAAAAATGCCTGCCGGAACAGGGTTTGGAGCACATGTTGATGCCTTCAGGTATGTTGGCATCTTAATTCCGTGTTTAAGCCAAAATGCGTGCTGGAATGGGATTTGGAGCACATTTTGATGTTGTCAGGTCTGTTGGCATCCAAGATGTTTGCCGGAACCGGGTTTGGGAGCATATTTTGATGTTGTCAGGTCTCTCGGTATCTTCCGTGCTTGCGCAACAGCGCTTGACGGACTGGAGTTTTGAGCATATTTTGATGTTGTCCGATCTGTTGGCATCTTCGCTTGACCAAACATGTTCGTCGGAAGGATTTCAATGGTGGGCTGAAGGATTTGCACTGGGTTTCGACGGATATTCACAGAATTTTGACGGATTTCCTTGGATTGGGATATTGAAGACTGTGGATAGGACTCTCGAGCATGTTCATAGAGTTTCCACGAATTTCAATGGTATGTTTATCCTACACCCCCGAACCTTATACGGTGACCTCCGTACTCGTTTAGCCCTGGTCATGGCTTACTGCAAGGTCGCGAGGGAACGCACAACTTCCTCCTGCCTTACTGGACGCTGGGGCTGCAATGGTTGGTTTTTGCTGGTTTGGGCTCTACATCCCTTTTGGGTCCAGAATTCTGCGGGCCCCAAACTTCGCAAAGCTCATTCGTCAGAGCCCTGCGTCAAAGTTATGGTTAAGGATCAGAACTTGGGTCAAAGCTCCGCTGTATACAGTACATCCTGGGAACAGAAACCTGGACCGTGCTTTCACATGACCCACTCTAGCGAGTTGTTGGTATGCTGGTTTTGCTCTGGGTTGTTGTCTTATGGGTGCTTACTCGCCTGTGGAGCTTTCCGTGGTTTCTATGCACATATGTATGTATATATATATATATATGTACCTACAAACATGTGTATACGTAAGAAGCACATGCATAACCAACACAAAGCAATAAACGCAGTAATTGCATATATTAGTGAGCAAATACCCATACACATATATATATATATATAGATAGACAGATAGATAGATAGATAGATAGATAGATGTTCAAAGCAACTACAAAATACATACTTGCATACATACATACATACATACATACATTCATACATACATACATACATACATACATACGTACATACGTACATACGTACAGAGACAGACAGACAGACAGACAGACATACATGCATGCGTACAGTATGAATGAATGAAATAATGAATTAATGAATGGATGAATGAATGCATGCATGAATGAAAAAATGAATGAATGCACGAATGAATAAATGAATGAAGGAATGCATGAATGAAATGAAGGAATGTATGGGATGGTAAGTATGTATGTATGTATGTATGTATGTATGTATGTATGTAAGCATGCATGCATGCATGCATGCATGCATGCATGTACGTATAGATGTATGTACGTAGGTACGCATGAAACCTTAAGTATGTAAGCATGTAGAGGTGAGGAACTAGGTATGTATGTTTGTACTTCGTAGGTATGTGTATATATGGACATACATATGTATACATATACATATGTGTACATAACGTATACATATACATATAGTTTAAAACTACATATATATATATATGTATATGATGTGCACACACCTAAATCGCCCTGGATCCGAAAGTCTTGATTCGAGAGGAGCCTCAGGGCCCCAAGCCCTACCTGGGGCTCCCAGAACCTATCGTTTCAAGCGTATCCCTGAACCTTGAACCCTAGATATTAAACGAAAAGGCGACAGATCGTAACGCATAACTGGCATAACCTCGTTGTGCATGCCCAAGGCCCCCAGCCACCAAAAACAGCCTTCATGAACGACTGGCCAAACAAAGAGAAACACACACCCAAGCACCCACCCTTCTACTCAAGCACGCACCCTAAACGCTAAACCCTAATCCCTGTAAGCCCCCAAGCCCTGTAAACCCCATAAGCCCTAGACCCTAAACTGCAAACCCCGAAAGCGAAAGTCTCATCAGGATCAGCTTCATGAACGAACCAGCCTGGGAGGTGGGCTGGAAGGGGGTCCGGCCGGTGTTTGATCCTAAACCCTATGAGCCCAAAGCCGTAAATCCAAAACCCTAAACCCTATAAGCCTTAAGCCCTACCCTAAACCCTAAGCCTGAGCCGGACAGGTGAGGGCTGCATACTTGGAAGAGGCGGCAAACCTGCCCCAACGAGTTGGCCAGGCAAGCCCTCGAAGTGAGGGTTCGGGACTTTGGGGGTCAGGGGTTCGGAATTCCTGGGTTTAGGGCTTAGGCTGAGGTTTGCGGGTGTGGGTTGAGGGATTTTGGGCGTATTAGATGGCCCTCTGCAAGGGAACCCGGACCCTGGATGAGGGTTTAGGAGTTTAGGGTTTGGGGGTTTAGGGAGTAGGGTTTAGGGGTTTAGGGCGTCTTTAGCACGGAATTGTTAATTAAGGTTCTTATATTGCGGTTTCAAAGGATGTACAGGGCCAAAAATGGTGCTCCTTGAAACGCAGCTGGGCTTATTTTTGTTGAATGGAGGCGGGGTTTATTTAGTTAGTTATATATTGGCTGTTCGAGGCTTGCTTGCTTAGATTCAGGTCGTCGCCCATAGGGTTTTCAGACTCTATAGGGCTTAGGGAATAGAGCGAATGCAATTCGGGTTTAGGCTTGCGCTTAAGTTTAGGGTCTCGTGTGTATTACATCAGTCTAGCCATCATACACATGCTACGGTGTTTGATGTATGCTTGAGGGATCATTCAAGAGATGTGGGATGCGAGAAAGGATCTATCGCAAAATTAGAGCTGCAAAGAGGTTCAAAGGCTAGGCAGAGGTTTCTTGAGATGTGGCAGCTGTGGGGTTCGGGGCTGGCGGAAGTAGGCCTTTCAAGCTCCTATGAGCCTTGTACTACTAGTACCCGACTACCCCGGGCATCCCATTTTTTTCATCTCCCTGGTGTGTGCAATCACGTTTTACCGGAGTTGTAGGTTGCAGTCAAAATCAGTAGCAACTGCACGCCGTTCGACCGACCTGGGTTTGTCGGGGAACGGCTAGTACTTTGAGTTGTAAGAGCGGCATAGGTTCAGGGTTCGGTGGTTCAGGTTTGCAGGGTGTGCGCAGAAGACCGGGATTACTTCCAACTCTACGTCTTGGGATCCCCTTTTTGCCAAAGGTTCTTGGACCAAGTCATATAAGGATTGAAGAATTTCTCAGCCCAAAGGGTGTGTGGGGCCTCTCTGTTGGGACTTGGGGGTTTTAGGGTTCAGGCATATTGGGCTTCGGCGGTTCAGGTCAAACTTCCAAACACAAGACCCGCAATCCAAAGGCCTTTCAAAGCATGAACCCAGCCGAAATCTTTGCACCCTAGACTTTGGCCCTAAATCCTTTGAGCCTAACACCCTCAAACCTAAAAACAACACTTCCTGAAAACCAAAACCCTGAAGCCTCAAACTCTACATCCAGAAAGGCCTGAAATCCTAAGCCCTGAACCTGATAATACAGAGGCCTCAGTAGCTACCACTAGTATTTTGGGGGTGGCCTTATCATACTTATAGCACAAAATTCCCCAAAACCCTATTCTAGCTATTAAGGCCACTCTACATTATCCCGAAAACTCAAAGCGCAAGCCCTTTCACAGTACTGGGCGGCCTAGTTCCTTGCCGGCAGGTAGCCACAGAGGGCCTTATCTGGCCTTGTCACTGGGATTGGGTTTAGGTATCTTGGGGCTTATAGAGCTTTAAATCTAGGGTTTGGGGTTTAAAGTTTGCAGATTGCGGTTTAAGGTGTAGGGTTTCTAGTTACTTCTAGTTAGGGTCTCTCGCGGAATAACTAGGGGATTGCCTGTAACCCAAAATGGTCAGTGCGCCAAGGGTTTATACATAGGCTTTCACAACAATGAAGCCTGACATTGTAGGTATTTTGCACTAGCGTTTTGCCTTTGGGATGTTGATCGCCTGGATTTCAGGGTGTACGGGGTATTGGGTTTATAGTTTCAGGTTTTGCGGATGATGAGGTTTTAAAGGAATAGAATGGGTGTTTACACGGACCGTACACAGTAGAAGGATTCACGCAGGGGCCAGTGCTAAAAGACGAATGCTCTGACCGTGCAACACCTTTATATCTTTTAAACTCATGCTGGCGATTATACCCCTATGTCAAAAGTCAAAGCGTTGAATCGAATCAAGCCATGTACTAGGACTCTGTCTTAAGACACAAATCCCAAGCCTCATTATGATTGGGCAGGCCCCTGTAAAAGCACTCCGTTTCTGATTCGTCGCAGATGGATCAATCCAACGCTTCGAAGAGTTTAGCATTTACCGTGTGGAATGTAACAATGTTATTGGTTCTTATAGTCCCTACACGCTACTCTAATCATGAACACGAAACGGCGCCAATTCTAGACTCCCGTCCGGTAGTAAACCGGCCCTGAAAGAGGGGCCTTAGTACGTGAAATAGGGTTTGAAGTCTATTCGGACGTGAGTATATTGGGGGGCTACAAGGGAGCAATATAGGTAAAGATCCAGACTGCTAAAGTACATGATGCGTTAGGCTGGTTTCTATAGAGGTTCAGGGTTGTCGGATTGGTTTAGGATGTCGGGGCAGAGCAGCCAGCGAAGTTCTCAAGAACAGAACACAGCTTCAGCCTTCGGTTTTAGGGTTTAGGGCCGTTTAGAGTTTAGGGTGCCTTCGGTTTAGGGTTTGGGTTTCCAAGAAAACTCATCCAGTGCCGACGTGCATCTGGATGTGCTCATGTTGGTTTGTCCAGTTTGGTCGTTGTTGTACTGTTCGTGTCAAGTCTCCTTGGAATGTCATGAACTCTTGCACTCTTCCTTGAATGTCAAAGCTTAGCTAAATCAACCTTGCCGGTAGCCCAGTAAACTCTACATTAGTTGGATAGAGTTCTGGACGGCGACAGGCGACAGGTACACTTGTCAGCGCGACACACTTTACCTGGCCACCTACACCAACCTAGCAGACGTAGCATGCTATGCTTCTCGGTCTCAGGTTATGAGAAAGCGCTGCTGGACCAGGCCAGGGAGGGTGAATATGAGGCCGCAGTCGTTACAAAAAGGTTTGGGGGGTATACCGGATTATGATTCTATCGCGGCTGCTAGCTGATAGTCTTGCTGACTGTTCAAACTTCTAAATGAGCTATTTGGGGTTAAGGCCAAGGCATTAGCAAGAGATACTCTAGAAGCCGAGTTACCGTTTTCATGCGTTACCGTCATATGCTGGGGTCCTCAGGATAGTCATCTTGCTAGCTAGGATTCTACATTGGGGGTTTCTTTTTTCTGAAACTCTGATGGTTTACTCTACTGGATGATTTGCGTGCCAGGGTCTTGCCGTTTAGCGCCAGGTTGAAGAACTCATGTGGAACCCCAGGGAAAAGGCCAAAGTAGTAGAGTCCGAAAGAGAGATCGTGAAAGCCGCCACTAGCTTCGGACTGGTTCTCTAGATTGCAGGATGTCTGTTCAGTGGCTTCAGTCTTTGCAACGACTGCTCTTGTGGCATATGAGCCAGTGTAGTGCCTGATTTGGTCATATTCCTTGCAGATACGTTTGGTAAGAAGATAATCCTGCATTGTGTCATTCCACTACGGTTTTGCGGGCCCTGTAGTTTTGCGTTTTTGGTTTAAAACTGGTCATGCTCTTCGATCTGTTCAAGAACTTATTTCATTTCAGCCACAGTCAACTGTTGCCCTAAACCCTGCTGCCCTAAACCCTGCCTACAAACTCTAAACCCTAAACCCTGAA